GAATCATGACCTTAACGCTGGTATCGGATACACACACTGTTGTGCCGGAACCTTTCAACAGTGTAAATAGTGAGAAAGAAGAAATCTGAATAGTGAGAAAGAAGAAAGCATTTTGTTAAGATGTAGATTTTTTCGACAGTACGACATAAGCATCATCAATACATATCGCCTACCTAATTCGAAAATGTGCCATAGCCCCTGGCACAACCTTTTCAAGCAACATGAAAAATCGGATTTTCTATGAGTAGGTGACTTCAATAGCTGTCATACCTACTGGGGTTACCATGCATCTTCGGAGGCCGGAAGGTGCCTTCTCAATTTGGCCCACACACACCACCTTTCTCTTCTCAATGATGTCAACAAGCCCCCTAAAACCGGTAATTCTGTGCAACGTGGCACAAATCCCGGTTTGGCATGGACAGGACAAACAAGACACCGGACTGGCGCAATTTAGGTGAAACATTCGGCCGTGATCACTGCATCCTCGAAATTACTATTCCCTTACTTACTCGAAAAAAAGGTTCCAGGCGGGGGTAAGCGCCAACTCAATACCATTGGAGCTTACAAATTGGGATGGTTTTCGCAAGGTCACTACAAAAGTAAAAACGTCTACACTTGACGATTGGAACCGTTCTCTCCTTACAGCACATAGACAAACCACAAAAACAGTTCAGCGCAATGGTGACAACCCACAGATTGATCGACACCTTCTGAACCTCTGGGACAAAAGGCATGTGCTAATTAGGAGATGGAAACGAAACAAACTAAACAAACGTCTTAAGTCCCACGTAGAAGAGATCACGTGAGAAGCGCAAGAGTGAGCGGACAAGTTAGCCACCGACAATTGGCTGGATATTTGTGAGCACGCAGGCAGGAGCTTGCACACGAGCACAGCATGGTCTCTTTTTTGCACCTTGCTTGGGCAACCCAAATGAAAGAACCACCTAGAGGTAATACAGCTCAATAATGGGATTGACTCGCAAACTTTGGCAGAAGAAATCACCGACCACTTCTTTCCAACAGCTACGACAATCAATTGCGCTCATCCTCTTGCGGTAATAACTGACGACACCTCTTCAGATCTCGACCGACCTTTCTCAATAAGAGAGCTGCGAATGGCTATCGACGCCTGTAAAAGGCAGACAGTGCCAGGCCCGGATGGCATAAGCAGTAAGATGTCAAGAAATCTGCCCGAAACACAACTGAAGTTTCTCCTCGACACCATCAACCAAGCTTGGGAAACAGGCAATATACCCGCAGAGTGGGAAATGGCCCCTATAATTCCTATCCCCAATCCCAATAAGGCACCAAACGAAATTGAGAATTTTTGCCCGACTTCACTGACATCGTGTCCAGGAAAACTTATGGAGCGCATGGCACTAACGCGACTACTCTGGCAGCAGGACAGAGCCTGTCCGGTTGACCCGCGCATTATTGGTTTCCGAAAACACATGTCTACGCAAGATGCGATTCTTGCTTTGCAGGATGTGTACACCATGCACAGCACCATGCAGTACACCATGCACCTCTCAACTGTGTGCTGTAGTTGGCCTTGACATTAAGGGGGCGTTTGACCACGTCACCCACGCAGCGGTTGTTGGGGGCCTTAGGGCGCTCCGACCGGGACCGAAGCTATACAACTATGTTAAAAATTTTCTTACCGACCGCACAGTCGCCGTGCAGGTAAACGAAGCAAAAGCGTGCACGCGGTACCTCGAAGGAGGCGCTCTGCAAGGATTCAATTCTGTCACCGACACTCTTTTCCCTCGCTCTCAATGATCTGACGCGGTAACTCAGATCAATACAAGACCTTCAGTTTACAATATATGCCGATGACATCACCCTTTGGGCCGGAAGGGGTTCCCTATCAGAAATACAACACACGCTACAATCGGCCATTGATACCTTGAAGAAAGAGGGCTCACTCTTTCCACTGCCAAATCTGAGTTTATCGTCGTTACAAATGGGAAGATTCCAAACACTCAGGAAGACCGGCAACGCGTTAAACTCTCCATACATAATGACCCTATTCCCTGGAAGCACTGCATAAAAGTGCTAGGCTTCCAGTTGCAAGATGTCGGCAAGTCAAAGGAGTGGCTCCGACATACAATACAACAGTTGCACCAAGTACACCGTCTTTTGAAATACACAACGCGAAAGCCGAGAGGCATCAAAGAACACCAACCCAGGCGCATGACCCTAGATTTAGCCAATCCCCATGTCATGTATCAGTATTCATATATTGGCATCACCAAGACCCAAAAATCGAAGCTCGAGACCCTACTTCGTCAGATTTCTCGCACGATACTGGGTACCCCCTCGTTATGCAAAGTCTGATAGGGTTCAAGGAACTGCGATCCTACCAAATCTCGACGAGTTGGCCCAAATTCACCGTGAAGCACACTTCACGCGCCTCAAACATTCCGCACAAGGATACGCCCTGCTTCGTGAATTAGGCTGACATATCTGCAGCTGTCGCATTTGAAGCAACCCGGCCCCTTTGGGCGACGCTCGACCAGATCACCGTCGAACCAGATCCGCGGCACATGGATCGAGATAACCAAACAGGACGACGTAAATCACGAGTACAACATCTCCAATAAGCCACTGGAGAGTGGATCTTGTACACGGATGCATCTCCGTCTTATACCGGCGAGGGTTTCGAACAGGAATAGCTTCTGATGGACTACCACTGTCATGGGGCTTCCATTACAACGTTAGTACGCAAAGAATTGCCGAAATCGCGGCCGTAGTAGAAGCAGTTACCATGCCCAATCCAAATGCCCGTAATTTACTGATACGCACAGATAGTTAAGCTACCTGTCGAGCCCTTGTGACAGGTGACATTCCAGACGCACATTAAAACAAACTTACGAAGCACTTATCTGGCCACCCTTCGTTACGTGTTCGTGTACAGTGGATACCTGGTCACTCGGGGATCAGAGAGAATGAAGTGGCACACGCCATGTCCTGCGTAAATCTTCCAAGCCTTCCTCTGTGGTGGCCGGATTAAGTGAAACGCACCAAATTACTTGCTATGGCACGTTTAGAGAGGCGCGAACGATTAAATTAGATGCGCAACAATTGCAGGGTTTATCCCGATTCTCCGCATTTAATGACGAGACGCAAGGCATCCCTGATAAGGCGTGCCCCAGCTCACTCTTTAATGACACCACACGTTCAACACTACATACAAGGAAAAGACGGGTCTCCTGTTTGCATGGCATGTGGTGGCTTCCCGAATAATGCTCACGTTCTGTGGGATTGTCCGGGTGGTCGCGCAGCCTTGGGCGAGAGCCTCAAGCACATACTTATAAACCTAAGACCTGCGACCCTGAAGGAGTGGCTGGCGAACTCCTCCCCGGACATCATGAAGACACTGCTCTAGCATTTGAAACTTCAAGGCCTGTCTGATGGATAGGTTTTTTTCTTTAGTAGACCCGGACTGGGGTTCTTTTATTTTTAAGTGCAGTTGTTCTCTCAACTAAGTGTGAATCACCCGTGACACATGCCCGCCCGTGGGTATGTGCACTGTCTGGTCAAAATGGTTTGACGACATATTCGACAGAATTGTGACATTATTCATGTCTTGACCAGCATGTTATATTCCTCAAACCATCTTACGCTCCCATGCCAATTTTGGTTCACGCCAAGTTAAGGGGGCACCACGAGAGCACCCAAACGTAAGAGGCTAGATAGATAGATAGATAGATAGATAGATAGATAGATAGATAGATAGATAGATAGATAGATAGATAGATAGATAGATAGATAGATAGATAGATAGATAGATAGATAGATAGATAGATAGATAGATAGATAGATAGATAGATAGATAGATAGATAGATAGATAGATAGATACGTTTATTATACCTTATATGACTGGTAATATCGGCTCCATACGTCGTAATGCTAAAAAGAGCTCGGGAAACAGTCGGCTGGGAAATGCATTTTGTCCAAAAAGCCATTGACAAGAAAGGAACAAGAGACAAGGACGTACTCTTTCTTCCTTTCTTTCCTGTTTTTCTTCTGCGAGAAATGCACTTGCCATGGATTACCTACTCGCGCAACGCTCTGTTTTTCTAAGAAATAGTCCAGTTTCGTCTCCTTTATTAGATGAAGCCAGTTATTTGAACCAAACTTTTAATATCAGAATAAACCAATATGAAGATAACAATAATCGTAGGGAATTTACGTTATGATAGGATTATGAGTGATGCCATAGATGAGGGCTCCCCAAATTGAAACTGTCTGTTATACTGTAAAGTGCACATAAATTTCAGTACATGGGAATCCAGCACCTTGCCTACAATCACATTTAGCTTCCGCAGTGGAGATTCATTCACGTTGCAGCCAAAGCAGACATTTCGGGTCAGCACTCGAGTGGCATGGCCACTAAACCACCAACAAAATTTCAAAATTCAAGGCGGAATGGCTAGAGGGCACATTCACTCAATGTCAGTACCATCCACATTGCGTAGCACAGTGCTCCCCTCTCTCAGTACTGAAGCATGATCTCTGGCGAGGTAAAAAAACTGGCTCATTAGGAGAACAAACATAGTTTTCTAAGTTAAGGGGATAATATGATAAAGACACACGCTGTGGTCCTCATCTCAACATAAATTTAAGCACCTGTGATACTGCGTTGTGCCCCTCAAGCACGCTGATGATTCCACAATTCGCCCTTTTAGAAATGTGATAATGCCACTCCGGGCCTTGGCGTAGCCGACATGAAAACAAATCTTGCATCATCTAGTTTAGTACGGTAATAATAGCTTAGTCATTAAGCTACGTCTGCGGCTAGTTAAAGCTTGTCTTTGACCAATCGGTAGTTCCGTGCTTATAATACGTAAGTTTTATATGTTTATTTTCAATTTATTAAGGATATCTCACATGCATCTATTGAAGCATTGTTTAATGGGGCCAGAATAGGAACTGAACTTCCGTAGTACCTTGATAAGGCAATATGCATGTACTACCATTTGTGCTATGCACTTGCCTGCCAAGTAGACGAGCCCTCCCATGAGCATGATGGGCCACGATCCGTCGCTCCTGTTTACTTGAAAGGTGTCCAGGATGGCCACAAAGAGGAATCCCGCCGAACGCCTCCCAGCCATTGCGAAGAAGCATGCCAGGGCGCAGGCACCTTGGCGACGGCGGAAGCAAACAAAAACTATTAACATCCGACTCAATCCTGTAAGGTTGCGTTTATGCTTCTAGACATATCTCAGTTAAACTCATTTCAACAGCGACAACAATTGAAATGAAATTTATTGTACCAAGCGTGTGCCGTTGAAGCGTCAACGGGCGTTGATTAACTTCAGTCAGTGTGCATGTACATAAAAAACAATTCTAAATACATTTGTCCCTCATGTGCGCACTTCATACACCAAGAATGAACAGTCCTGTTAAGTTTTAAGCATTTATGCGTTGACGCCTTGGCGCTTTACGTTACTGAGTATATGAAAACACTAGTAACTCACAGTGCCATATGTCATTTCTAAACTATCTGTAGCCGGCTTCAGTTAAGCCAACACATTGCTTTCATTTGCTTCAATACCTTGAGTGCCGCGAAAAAGTGAACTTCCAGAGATCGTTTCTCTGTCTGACGGTGCTCTTTTAATAACGATAATGGGGTTTAATGTCTCATATGACAATGATATCATGAGAGACCTCACACTATCTCACTGAAAAGTAACAGAAAATGAAGCGAAGCAAGAGCATAGGGGACATTGTTTGTACTGTTTTAAATGCCTTGTAGCCATTACAATACGAAAGTGAAGTAAAGTGGATCAAAAGGCAAATAGCCACCAGCAGCGTGCATAAGTGCCACTCACAGCCATGACGGGGAGCACGGAAGTTTCTATTTAGCCAGATAAAAAAAAACGCCACGCCTCCGTGGAAGGTGCAGCGCAGTCACAGTGAAGGCTAAAAGAGCCGCCTTTCAGATCCCTTTCTAAACACTTGTTCTTGTTCTTTTCACGTATTGTCCGTGGCGCATGCCCGTTATGGGGGATTGGCCAAGAATCGCGTAGTTTTAAAAATTATTGTTCAAATTTGGAATAATGAAGATATAATAGAAAGATTACCGATAACACGGGAAAGTGTGGTTCTTGATCTAGTGCATACAACAACTTAAATAAATAAACGAATTTATTTTTAGAATACAGCACTAATCTGATTTTTATACGTATATAATTTTGTAGAAACGTTAGGATAATAAAACAGGTTAATTAGTTATTCTATTAGTTTCATCAATATAGTCCCGGACGGCCGCGCATTATGTCGCATTAGACAATTCAGAAATGAAAGCTTCGAAAGACAAAATGACAGGCACAGATAAGTCCATACCAATACCACGTAAAGGTATTGTGACGGAGCGAGGTCTTGGCTTACAGGACAGCGTCCACCGAGAGTCGGCAGCCGAACAAGATGTCTGAGTTGCCTCTCGTGCAAGCGCCTAACGCACAGGCGTCTTCTTCATCTTCGCTAAGTGCCACGCTTGCTCCTGTCGATGATGCACCGTAACATCACTCCTCTGCGGCGGAAGCGCCGTCACGGCGCTTAGTACGGCGGCGACGAACGAGGAGGGTGATACGGTTTCAGTCTGGAAACGTGTACAACGTCTGTCTGGAGTGAGGTGGTCGAAAAGGCATTGTTTAGGGGTGCGATCTTGTAGCTCACGTCACTAAGTTGTCGTAACACTTTGTAGGGGCCATGGTAGTGTGATAGTAGCTTCCCTGATAAGCCGACTTGGTGGTTTGGTGTCCAGAGAAGTACCAGAGACCCCGGCGAGAAGTGCACGCTTTGGTGGCGACTGTCATAGCGGTCTTTTTGCTGCGCTTGCGACAAGTGCAGCCGATCACGGGCAAGCTGACGGGCTGCATGGGCTCGAGAAACGACATCGCTGGCATACTCAGTAGACAAGGGGGCAGCTGAAGGAAGGAGCGTGTCAAATGGTGATGCTGGATGTCGGCCAAATAGCAAATAAAACGGCGAATAACTAGCTGTGTCGTGCCGTGAAGAATTGTACGCGAACGTGACAAAGGGGAGTGCTTTGTCCCAGTCACGGTGATCTGGCGAAACGTACATCGACGGCATCTGCATCAGCGTTCGGTTCAGATGCTCGGTCAATCCAATTGTCTGTGGATGATAAGCGTTGGTAAGCTTGTGCTCAGTGGAGTAGGCGCAGAGAATGTCATCCACAACACGTGAAAAAAAGTACCTTCCTCGATCAGTAAGCAGCTGCCGCGGAGCGCCGTGATGAAGAATTACTTCATACAAGAGAAAGTCAGCGACGTCAGTGGAACAGCTTGTCGGCAGTGCTTCAGTGATGGTAAAGCGTGTGGCGTAGTCAGTGGCGACTGCAACCCATTTATTTCCGGAGGTGGAAGTAGGAAACAGGCCCAACAGGTTAAGGCCAACACGGAACAATTGTTCCGTCGGTATGTCAATGGGCTGTAGGAGGCCAGACGGTAGCACAGAGGGGCGCTTGCGGCGTTGGCAGCGGTCGCAAGCAGTGACGTAGCGAATCACAGAACGATACAGTCCGGGCCAGAAAAAGCGACGTCGAACACGATCGTAGGTACGAGAGAAGCCTAGGTGACCGGCTGTAGGTACGTCATGTAGTTGTTCGAGAACGCTGGTACGCAGGTAATGGGGAAGCACGAGTAGTAAGTCCGGGCCATCAGCGTTGAAGCTGCGACGGTACAGAATGTTGTCGTGCAGTTCGAACAGGCGAACGGAAGGGTCTGTTGGAGCAGAGGTCAGACGCTCGATAATGGACAGTAACGACGGGTCACGTCGTTGTTCCGTGGAGATATCACCCAAAGCGTGGATGGAGAGAATGCAGGGGTCTGAATCAATGTCTGTCAAGTCGGGCGTTTCAACTGGATAACGTGACAAACAGTCTGCGTCTGTGTGGAGGCGTCCCGACTTGTAGTGCACCACGAATGAGTATTCTTGCAGACGGAGCGCCCAGCGACCGAGACGTCCAGATGGGTCCTTTAGCGATGACAGCCAGCAAAGAGCGTGATGGTCCGTAACAACGGAAAAAGTTCGGCCATACAGGTAAGGCCTGAATTTCGCCACGGCCCACACTAAAGCTAGGCATTCACGCTCAGTGATGGAGAACTTCCGTTCGGCAGGTGAAAGAAGACGACTGGCGTAAGCAATCACGCGGTCCTTCCCGTGCTGTCGTTGGCCAAGGACCGCTCCAATTCCATGGCCACTGGCATCGGTCCGAAGCTCTGTAGGTGATGCTGGGTCGAAATGGGCCAGTACTGGTGGCGTAGTCAGCAGATGGATAAGAGCCGAAAAGGCGTCCGCTTGCTCTATACCCCATGCGAAGGGAACGTCCTTCTTTAAGAGATCAGTAAGCGGTCGAGCGATGTCGGCGAAGTTGCGGACAAATCGACGAAAATAGGAACATAGCCCTACAAAACTTCGGACGCCCTTGGTTGAGCGTGGTTCAGTAAATTTTCGTACTGCTCGCACCTTTTCGGGATCTGGTTGAACACCATCGACACTGACAAGGTGGCCGAGTATGGTGATTTGGCAACGTCCGAAATGGCATTTTGCAGAATTGAGCTGGAGAGCAGCTCTTCGAAAAACATCCAGAACAGCTGACAGACGTGTTATATGGCTGTCAAAGGTGGGCGAAAAGACGATGACATCGTCTAAATAACATAAGCAGATGGACCACTTATATCCTCGGAGAAGGGAGTCCATCATGCGCTCGAAAGTTGCCGGTGCATTACACAGTCCAAACGGCATGACTTAGAACTGGTAGAGGCCGTCGGGCGTAACGAAAGTGGTTTTTTCACGATCCATGGAGTCGACGGAAATTTGCCAATAGCCGGATCGAAGGTCGATAGACGAAAAGTATTGGGCACCATGGAGGCAATCGAGGGCGTCATCAATCCGAGGCAAAGGGTAGACATCTTTGTGGGTCACTTTGTTTAAATGGCAATGGTCCACGCAAAAGCGCCAGCTGCCATCTTTCTTCTGAACGAGCACGACTGGGGAGGCCCCGGGGCTGAATGAGGGTTCTATTACGTCTTTAGTAATCATTTTATCCACTTCATTTTGAATTACTTGGCGTTCCTTGTAAGATACGCGATATGGACGCCACCGTATAGGACTGGCATTATCAGTGTTGATCCGGTGAGTCACTGCAGTTGTTTGGCTGAGAGGGCGGTGGTCAAAGTCGAAAACGTCTCTATATGGTGTTAGCCGACTACAGAGGCTGGCAGCTTGCACTGCAGTGAGGTCGGGAGCAATCATCTTGTTAATGTCATCTGCGGGCAGAGTGTAATTGCGGCCAAGACAGGGGGATGTAGTATCGGTGTCCAAACCAGTAACGTTGCAGCTGTCAAGTGGAGATAGGGTGGCCAAAGACATGTCTTGCGGAATAACTTGAGTCAAGAAACTCACGTTGAGTAGTGGTATAACCACTGTATTATTAGCGACGGCGACAACAGTGTGAGCAAGGGAGACGTCTCGGGCCATCAGTACGTCGACTATAGGAGTGACGAGGTAGTCACCGTCGGGCACATGACGTGAGCACGACAAAGTGACATATGTAGCAGCTTGCGGAGGCAAGCGAACATGGTGACGAGAGCGTAAACGGGGAGAATAGTCTGCTGGAAAATCGGCAAACTGCGGCAGTTCAAGCTGAAGAGCACCAGTGGCACAATCAATGAGCGCATAATGACGTGACAGGAAGTCCAAACCAAGTATTAGGTCATGAGGACACATTTCGACTGCGCAGACATTTCCAGTTAGTAGATCTACTGTACAATGGCATAACACTGTGTCACAAAAAGTGCACAACAAGGCTCGTTATCTTGGTGTGTCTCTTAATAACCACCGTAATAGTGGCCCTCATTGGACGTCCACCATGACCACGATCCTCCGAAAGGTGTTTACAATGCAAGGGCGGGATCTTTCCCATTTTTTTGAGAGCTAAAGCATGCAACATTTTTCTTTCACCAAATCTTGTCTCTATTCTACAAGTATTGCATTGCTCTCGTGTGCATATTCAGGTGTTTCACCGGATATTTGCCTGCTTCATTTAGAACTCTTCATGGGTAGCCAAGCGAAGTGACAACCTTTTTTCTGCTTGAGAAGGGGGGGGGAGGGGCTTGGTCTTGTGTATTTGTTTGTACAACTGAAAGAGCGATTTTTTTTTTTTACCTTATCGATGTTTGTCACCCGTTCCTTCTGGCTGTTATCCATAATCCACTTGCTTACAACCTGCCTTTTTTTTTTGTCACAAAAAAAATAGCTGAAAACTCACAATTGTGAGTTTCTTGAAGAGATTGTCAAGGCCATGCAGTTTTTGAAAGCCAGATTCACTTTAGAATATCTATACACTGTAGACAGAACAGCACTGACTACTGCACTTGTCAGCACCATTTTCTCTGAACCTGTTCACCGACAGCCAGAGTTATCTCGAACTAGTCATTATGTGTTCTACCGTGTGCATAAAATGCGTATATCACCAGCAACTAAAACGTTTTTTTTTAAGCTAAGAACCTCAACATAACCAGTAAAAACGTGGCTTCACAAAAAAGGTACATACGTGACCTGGTTTCTAAATTGCAGACAGTGCAATGAGCCTGACACAATCAGCATTGTTTTATTCATTTCTGTGATGCGTGTTATTTCTGGGATATTCTTAAGAGAACCATCAAAAAGAATTTCTTATTACAGCTCATGGTATTAGGTTTTTACCGTTCAAAAAGACCCTTAACAATATTGCTCCATACGATTTACTTATGTTATTGGGCCTTTATTCACTATAGGGAAGCCGCATGATTGACAGACATGCTGAGCTACCTCGCTCGACCAAAACTGTTTTCCAAGAAAAGACAGCCAATGTGCGTAGTGTTGTAGAGACTTTCTACCATGTTTCGGAGTGACTTGGAGTTTTTGACATGCGTGTTTGTTTACCAGACTTTTGAAGGTTCATTGTACTGCATGAAATTCTGTTTCGCGCATGTGTGCACGTGAGCATATATTTGAAACGATTGGTTGTATAGCTGTATATCACATCATTTGAATGCATTATTTTCACGCATTAAAAAGAAAAAAGCCCCAGTGTGGCTCACTGGTAAAATGCTGGGCTGGCACCGAGCAGACCCGGGTTCGAGCACCACTGTGTAATTGGTGCTATGCTTCTTCTTTCTATTTTCACGCAATGTGGTTACGGACACCTGCGGCGGCAGCGGCGGACAACTGCGCGTGACCCGACTTGTGATCTCATAACAGCTTTCGCTGTAAAAGAGGTCGCATCTGTCGTTACTGTAGTTACAAAAAGAACTCGCACAGTTTAACGTTTTTGTGACTAATAAAGTCACTTAAGTTTGCTGGCACTGAAAATGTGTGTAGCCTATTACTGGTGTTCTGCTGTTTTCATTGTTTTCTCTTTTATAGTATTAATATTGTAACAGATATGCACCATCAGAAAGCACCCTCGAATAATTAGGTCAATGGAACGTCGAAGGTTTTCACCTTTTAGTAACGCTTTTTTGCCTTTGAGTGGCGTATCTTCTGTAGGAATACATGTTGGTAATGAACTGGCTAAACTCCTTGACCTTCCTCTTCCTCCTCCTCTTCCTCCTCCTCCTTGGTAATCGCGGGTCGAACGTTGAATAACGTACGTAAATTGGGGCGCTGGGTTAGTTGGAATCAATTGGTCGACCAATCGTGTAGTAATGCTTGCCTTTATCGTATGGTATTTCATTATTTTTTGTTCCACTCTTTCACTTGAGAATGTATGCGAAGGTATCCGTCGAAAGCCCTAGGCCAGTCCAACCTTGTTTTTCGACCTCAGAGAGCAATTTCAAGCCTCTCAATGGCATGCTGACAATCAGAATGTTTTCCTGCATTCTCCCACGCTCATACCACGTGGCTAATTGGCGCCTACAACCAGCGCATCACCCGTGCTTAACATTAGTGCGCTGTTACCCTTTACGCTGTTTGTACTTCCCGTGCCCGCAGGACATACTTCATTTCCTTGTGTATCGCCGCAGCCCTATTAACCCAGACACATCGTTGGAATAAGGCCAAAAATGCCCTTTATGCGTGGCCATTGCCAAACTGCGGTGCTGCAGCATTGCACACAATCATCTTGCTTAAAGGTGAAGGACAGGTCCAACACTCTCGCAGACACCTAAATCTACGGAAAGCTCACTAGATGCACCCCCTAGTTTCACTCACCGGCGACGAGCCAGCTGTGCACACTGTCCGGACCATGTTGAGGTACGTGCGCACAGCCGTTCCAGCGTCGAACCCGTGAGCCCCCGGCCATGGCGATATCTCGACTGGCAACTGCATGGAATGGAACATGCAAGCTGGTTATTCAGTTGAGCTGCAGAATTACACGACTGAAATGGCGAATAAAAGCTTCTAGCATTCTTTTTTTCATCATAATGGTGATTATAATAGCGCTTTCTGTGCAAAAATGAAAAAAAATGACGCGATGCCTCACACTTCATGTCTTTCTAAATTAGTCCAGAGGGAAACAGTAAGTTAGTTGCAATTCCTTGTGCTGGAACCCTTATTAACACGAAAAACCAAGTTGGGTTTCCTGTAAGTTTGATTTCGGAGAAACGAGCCGAAAGAGTATTTCCACTCGACGCGCGGTAGAGCGTTGCGGGCGGTGGACAGGGTGATGCGAAAGGGATGTGTGTTGCGAGCGGACACTGCAGTAAGCACGCTGCGGGTGAGAGAGAGAGTGACGCCAACACGAACCTGTGAGGGAAGCGTGCGAGCGGAGAGTCATGTCAACGCGCAGCTGCACTGTGACCTAATTGGCACCGCTCAAACATCTGTGGTGAGGACAACGCGTTGCCACGCGTTCGTACGGAGGCACGTACGTACAACGTTACACACGTGAGACAAAGAGATGCTTCGCATCTAAAGAACAGAAATAATATTTTCTGGGATTTGGCATCCCAAAACCACGATTTCATTATTGGAGATACCATAAAGGAGAGCTCTGGAAATTTAGACCACCGGAGATGCTTTACCGTGCACTTAAATCTAAGTGCCTCCATCATTTTCGCTTCCATCGGAAATACGGCCACCGCGGTTGACATTTGATCCCGGATGCGCAGTCGAGCATCACAATCACTAAACTACTGTGGCGGGTCGTGACGTTTCATAAAGCATCAATGGGATCACATTCCCGGGTGGTAATAAAATTTTTCGAACCATCATGAACGTTAACTGCATCCACAGTTAGGCCGAAGACACGTCCGCACATCATATAGAACAACTTGGGCGCCGTCGTTTCGCAGTTGCTTAGCCATGTGCAGACGCCACAAGATGACCATTTATATTATACCAAAGACAAGGAAAGCTTGTGTACGCTAGTATGTTCTACATATACAACGAAGTAATTTACTTGCTTCAGTAGCACTTACATTGTAGAATATCTTATTGTCGCAAATTCTCGGTTGTGTGGTTCATCCACTGATCACTCAGGATTGTGACGCCATGGTGTTGCGAATTTTTCGCCACCAGTCTGCATGGTGCGACAGCTGCAAAAAAAAAAGCGGATGCATGTGAGACAACCTTGAACGTCACTCTCATTTTTAATGCATCACATGCACATGGTGGCAGGTCACCAGCGCACATAACCGCAGACACATACCATTCATGCATATGACATAATTTTAGTAATAAAGAAGGTAAACGTTAACATAACATAACAATACTTGTGTAGCGGTCATCCCGAAAGCGTGTTGGTGCCAGAATCATTTCCTGGACCAGGTTAAACTTTTCGTCTACCAGGAAGCTCTACATCCTGAAACATCCGTGCTGATTTCCTTGCAGCTTTGCGCTACTAAACATCGGACGCCCACTTCTCTGTTGCGTAACTATTCGTCCACAATGTGGTACTCACAAAACAGATCCCACGTGAAAACTAGAAATATTTATTAGAAAACTGCTACCTTTTTTTATGAACGTGAAATTGTGGCAAGAAAGTGTACCAATATTTTGTGCCGTAATATCGGAATGAAATGAGTGTTTGTACATCACATTCGCGAGGCATGCCTACTATTCGAAGCATTCAAGCAGCACAACGCATTATAAGAAGCATTTAAAGCAGCTGAAAGAACGACAGCTGTGGTAAATTTCGTCTTAATTCAAGGAAAAATATAAATTACTTACGATCGCCACTTGACCCCCCACTTCATCTCCTTTTCATGAACACTCACGGGTGCGCTTTTGAAAATATTTAGTCAGTATTCAAGGTGCAGTGGCCAGAGCACCAGAGCAGGGCACTGCCCTTGTTACCGGGAACATTGTTGCGATGGAGCACCACAACTACACCGAACAACAAAATCGAAACAAAATGGGGAGCCATGGCAAAACTTGAAATAAATGTATCATATTAAGGGAACCAGGGCAAGAATTATTCTGCGTGCCCAACAGTTGTCATTGCTCTTCGCAGTAGTGGAAGTATTCTTGAAGAATTAGACTATGACGACTAGATTTACACAATCAGCATAGCCTGTCTATACTGGGCGGCTGTTTTCGTCGTCTAAAGAAGTGGTGACATGCGTAATGGTTTCACTGCTTCTCGGGCACAATAAAGCACATGTCCCCCTTCTTGAGCGCATTATTGGACTGTACACGTGTTGTTGTAAATGCACAGCGTTGTACAGTGCATACTTTTCCAGTATATTGTTTTCTTCGCCACAAAGGTTATTTTTCGAGCTTGAATGCCTAAAAAATCGCAACAGTCAGTGGTTTTACTATTTGTATTCGAAACTTTCCAGAGCTATTGCATTTGATTAAAACTTCTTTATTATTCAACGTTGAAAAGTTTGATGTTCGTACACCCTAAAATTATCAAACTGAGGTTGATATTAAATCTATTGACATAAGATATCCTTGCGTTCTTTTACTCTTACACTCATTGTAAAATATCGGTGTCAGAGGAAGTTGCATTTTAGACCTATCACGAGTCCCCAGATACTCGGCAATAGTTTCGGTTGCAAATAACACGCACTAGCACGTACCAGTTACCGGGCACCCTGAGATTCGGTTGTATGGAGTGAGGTCGATAGGAATGTTCGCATTCATTGGCTTTCACAAGTTTTTACAAATAACAAATTGATACCCCTGTAAAGAGCTTCACTTTCGTTTACGTCTATTCTTCTCAGGCAAAGCGTGGAAACTGATTGACTTGCATTCGTGGCGCTTGCCTCCACTCCTTCTCACCCCCCGCTAAGCGATTTTAAAGTTGCATCAAGCTCAGTTATGTCACTCGGTTGGCGTGTGTACTACGGGAAAGATAGAGACAGCAAGTTGTGGCGGGAAGGAAAAGAAAGCCGCGGTAAGCTACACCGAACAAGTCCACCGTGCATTCGTCGAAGATGGGTTAAACAAGCAGCACATGTTTTCCACGGCTAAGCGGTGTGCTATAACCCGGGGGTTTCTAGTTCCGCAAAGGCTTTACAGCGTCTCCTAAAGACAACAAGTGAGCACAATAATTTAGACCTATTATTTGAGCAGGCATTAATTTTCACGAGTACATAGCATTAAACCCAGTTCTCTGCAAGCCTGACTCGACTCACAGAAGTGGAGTGTCGCTTGACTAATTGGTGAAGACGGCAGCCAAGCACCTATCGGGAATTTTCCCGACAAGTGCTTGGTTTTGCGTTTATTGAACGGCTTGAATTAGAGTTGCCTCGACTGCGTAGTTTTAGTTTTTTTTTAGTTTCGGGGCATATTTCAATTATTATATTATATAGCCTGCTTCCTGCTCATGAAATTTTTATACCCGCTGTTTAAGAATGTGTTAGTCTTTAATTCTAACAGTGTCACTCAAACATGCGTGATGGATTGAATGCTTCTAAAAATGCTTCTGAAACGTTTTGACAAGTGAACTTTTCTTCGTCAAGGTGATGCTGTTGTCCTGATGAAGACAAATGAACTTGTCGAAACAACGCTTGCAGAGACGTTCTTGCTCGAAAAACTTATGATAGCTTCAAGCTTCTTCGTGTCTCTGATCGTGAATATCGTTTGGTACTCAAGTTCTGTAAGAAAACTATGTGCATCAACATAACAAACCTGATTTAGTCAAATTGGACGTCTCTTCCTCGTGATTGTTATTTTCACCTTCATCGGTTAATTTGTGTTCAATGTTTGGTCATAATGTCCGTGTGTCAGTTGTAAATAAAACTGCTTTAATAGGTTGACACATTGAGACACACCAAGTGTGTCTATCGTTTTATTCAAAACGTGCAATAAAAGTTCATCTTATTTGTGATGATTGAGCTCTGGCATACTGAAAAATCAGTCAGCTTAAGTTCTGCCTCTTCAAAAAGCACGAAATAAATTTAAAAAATCAGATCAACAAAATTATATCGCTGCATTGCCCAAGTGGCCAGCGGACCCGAACAAAGACACGCGCGCTTTTTGCTACCATGCGTGCGAAGTGGGAAAGGAGGGCTTCCGTGGCAACAGTCCTCCTCTCGATGTTTAGTCATTTTTCTTTATGTGGGGAGCTCACCAGTATTGTCATGAAAAAAAATTTCTGTTCGTGGTTTAATTTTATTTGGATGCCCGTCAACCACCAGTGGTAAAAGCGGCGCTGCCGCTGCCGAGAGTGAGTACATGGGAGGTATAAAATTTTCGCCCCCTGATATCACTGGGAAAGTAAAGAAAAATCAGGGTAAACATTCTATTTGGATGCCCGTCAACCACCAGTGGTAAAAGCGGCGCTGCCGCTGCCGAGAGTGAGTACATGGGAGGTATAAAATTTTCGCCCCCTGATATCACTGGGAAAGTAAAGAAAAATCAGGGTAAACACTTTGAGACACCTGCTGCTCGTTTGCTGTGAGGGTGCTTGAAATATCAACGACGCTAAACAATCAACGCTCTTGCATGGGCACTGCATGACGGATGCGTATTCCAGGCATTCACAGTAAGCCTATTTACAATTTTCACTGAGCTCGTAAGTGTATGATGCCCTCAACTACATGACTCTTTTCAGGAAGCATGCAGTGCGTAAAGTCATTATAGAGGAAGGATAGCTGAGTGAGTTTGTAAGAAATCGTGTTTAAAGCAGGTAGCTCAGAAGGACCACCGCACAAGCCAGAAGCAAGTACACGGGACGAACGATAACTTCGAACAAAATTTTACTCTCCAAATTCACGCCTATTTATTAAATATGTCAAAATCGAGTAACATTCTCGGTTTTAATAAAAGTTCTCTCCTCTTCCAGCACATTGTCCCCCAAAAAAGAACTGATACAACACTGAATGTCTTGACATTACAACACCTTGATCAACTCTGATAATAGAAATGATACACGCGAAAAGGAACTGATTTTCCACACGCTCTAAACTAAAGACAGTCGATATACAGCCTGCACGCTTAGACTCAGGTACACTGAAGTTGTCATCGCTGCTGCTGTATTCAATCGTTTTATGGCAGTAAGCGCATCAGCACAGTGTGCCTCAAAGGTGCGTAAGGTATGGAAGAAAAATTTCGCGGTTATACCATTGATCCATAGCCAGTATTATCGCATCAAATAGATGGCATCGCGCCATGATGCTGACATTCTTTTTACTGCTCGAGAAGCTGATTGATTAATTGATATGTGGTGTTTAATGTACCAAAACCACCATATGATTATTAGAGACGCCGTATAGAGGGCTCCGAAAATTTAGATCACTTGGGGTTTCTTAACGTGTACCTAAATCTGAGCCCAAGGACCTACAGTATTTTCGCCTCCATCCCAAATGCAGCCGCCGCAGCCGGGATTTGGTCCCACGAACTGCGGGTCGGCAGCCGAGTACCTTAGCTACTAGATCATCATGGCGGGGCCGCTCGAAAAGCTGGTGGGCACCATTTGTCCAACACTTCAGAAGCACACATGCTTCTGAAGCACACAGTAGTACCACGGAAAGGCTAGGTGTATCATTAGACACGGTATGCAATTCGTTTCTTGCACCTGCATTGTTGACTATTGCATTCTTTTTTTCGTGCAGATGTGAGTACATGAGACGAGCAGATGTACGAACATAAGGCTCAGATAACATTTCAGCTCTCTCAAAGGTTTACCACACTCGCATCTCGCGATGCACTGTTTCCAATGCGGTCGTCCAGCGCTTTTGACTGACACAGCGATGTTGTACAGAAAATCTAAGAAAGTGTCAAGATAAATCGTGGAAGGTTTCTTAGGATGCGAAACAGCTTATGGTGGAGTTCAATCCAGTGTGTGGCGTGACCATTCCTACTGCGCATGTGCAACAGGTTTCAGGAGGGGCTCAAGCACTGGTGAATTTGGGCTAGCGTGAGTGACTGGGTGAAAGGTTGTGTCCCCCCCCCCCCCCCCCATTAATCTGTCAGCATTTACGGGACGGCATCGGGAAACGACTTTCTGCAGGCGCACGATGAACCGACGTGCTCAAGCAAGGCGTGACGATGAACCCACGTGGCTTGATGCAACAATAGTTCGGGGCGAGTAACAACAACAGAAACTATACAGCGAATTCATTGTGTGTTCCACTTGCAAGGACAC